TATATTTGGCAGCTAAAGCATTTGAAATATCTGGGTCCAACATATAGACTGCAAGTCTGCTTTCTATTCTCTTGCATTCAAATTTTTCGCATGTGAACTTAACTGGGTCCCAAGCATCTCCAGCAGCATTGAAATAATAGTTTACTTCAGTGTTGAGGTTTGAGAAACCAAAGTCTAAGTCAACTTGTTTTTTGCAAAAGTCGGCGAATGACATTTTATTTGTTCCCACTACTTCTGTAAGAGTGAATGGGTCTTGTGTTGGTGCAATGACTAAGTTATTTTTGCTTGGAGTAAGTTCGATAGAAATTTTTCCTGCCCAGTTTGGCAAGTATCTTAAAAACCTGAAGATGAGGAAAGATGACAAAGGAACTCTAAGTTTCAGTTTTACTTTGGTTACTGCTGCTGCAGTTTGTCCAGAAAGGTTAACATAAACTCCTGGAACGTTAGGGTCAAGTCTTCTTATTTTCTCAATGGTGGCATACTGGTCTGTTTGTTCTCTAGCTTGTGGTTGTACTGAGTTTCTCAAAGCGAACCATTCATAGTTTGCCCATGTTACTGTTTGAACTAAGTCAGAGTTAGAATATATCTTATATCCCATGAAAACTTCTGGAGCATATTGGTATCCGACATAGAAAATTCCATTGCAACCTTTCTTGTCAGACAACTTGCAGAAGGTTTTATTTCAATGTCTTGTTCCACGTATAAGAAAGAGTTGTCAATAGAAATTATATGAAACCTGTCGCAAGCAATATCTACTGTTGTTGAAGAACCTTCTCCAAACTCACCTACGTTTCCATAAGAAACAGCAGTTGTATATTCGTAAGTTCCAGGAACTATTTCTGACCTTCTAATGGCATTGTCGCATTCGTTATACCATTCGGAAACATTTCCATTCATGGCATCCAAAACTGTTGGCGTTATATTCTGAGCGGCGTACATTTCATATGAGTAAAAATATAGAATAGTTGGATTTATATGTCATAATAGAACCCACTCCGACCAAGCTTTACTTTCTTCCTGACTGAGTTTTTAACTCTTCTTTTTCCTTCATTGCCCTCTGCTTGAAGTTGTTGCATCTTTGCATTATGTTCATCTAGTATGTTGCAAATTTCCCATGTCCTTTTTGCCTTTTGGCTCTGGTCGCCCATCTCAGGTAACCTATATCCTAGAAAGAGTTTGTCATAGTCTGTATTTGAGTCTTCGCGTATTGTTTGCATGACTCTTTCCTGAGTTTCCGGTTCAAGCGCTTCAAACAGTGCCTGTCCATATGGAATAAGCTCGTTTCCAAATATATGTTTTTGTAGCCATTCTGGTTTTCTTTCCATGTTACCAACTATATCTTTTGTGAATGGGAAAGCTTTTACCCAATCTTTCAGTCTTGCGTCGTTTATTTCTGTAGTTGGTTTTATTTTGTCAAGGAACATGTTTTTCAATACTAACATTTCATTTGGTACTGTCCATTTGAGTTTTCTTAAATATTCATCCCTTCTCGATTCATCGTCTGCAAAGTAAGTTTTTATGACATTTTGTAAACTTTCGTTTGCAAGGTCATGTACAATAGGTTCTCTTCCTTCTCTCTCCCTAACTTTCTTTCTAAACTCTTCACCAAATATACCATCTTTATGGTTCTGTGTAGTTCTTTGAGATAAATGTTCTAGAACGTCAGGTGTTATATTTCCATCAGCCATGTTCATTTCATACTGGTCCAAAATATCTGCATCTTTCATATCTTTCAATGGCATTAAAGCCGCGCTGAAAATACCAGCTATATCTGGTTCACCATTGACTTCCATTGCGTCTACAACTTCTTGGAATTGTGGTTGTAAGTTTATGAACCACCTATCCGGATTAGCTTTATGACCCATCTCATTGTAGTTCCATCGTCTGCAGAAACAAAAGTAGGTTTGTTTCCATCTTGGTTAGGTTCTGAATGAACTTTAAACAATGTTTCATTTCTATATGTTTTCTTGAAATTTAACCTTTTATTTTCACCGAGTTCATCCGAAGATTGAACGTTAAATGCTCGTAAGTAAAAAGGGTTGTTGTATTTGTGTACATTTTTTTTCAGTTCTTCCATTCTATGCTGGATATTTTCATCTGATGTTGGAGTCTTTTGTATGTCGGCAAACATTTTTCGATATTCTTCTACTATGTCAGCCGAATTTTTTTTAGACTCTTGGAAATATTCCATATTCTCCGCATACTCTTGTTGAGGGTCAAGATTTTTCGGCTGTTCCAAATCTTCATCTAGTTCTGTGAAGTTAGTTTCCAAAGGAAGGACTTGTTCGTTTCCTTCAGGCTCTTCTAGCTGTTGTTGCTGAACTATTTCTTCCATGTCTGGTTGTATCTGAACTTCTTCCTGTGGAGTTTCTTGTACCTCATCTGCTGGCATTTCATATATTCCGAGACCGTTTTCAACAATTTCCCTATCTACGTCATCCGCATTCATAAGCTTTTGTTCTTTCGTTCCGTCTCTATTTTTTACGCGTTTCATGACGAAAGTTGAATTGTCATTTAGCTCTGACATCAAATATCTCGGAGTAAATTCATCCATGTCATTTGGATGATATGCTATTAAATCATATCCTTAGCGAGCTTGTATTTTCCAGGTTTGAGATTATATCCGTTTTGGTGCTGAGCCATAAAGCTAAATAGGTTCGGGTCAGTATTTCCATCCTTGAACTTTCTAATAGCTTCTTTATATCTGTCACTAAAGTCAACAGTATCTGGGAAACCACACTCTTCTTTAAGCATTTTTAAGAATTCTTGGTTTCCTTGTTCTCTACTTCTTTTATGTCCTTGCTCTGTTTGTGGTTGTTGTTGTGCAGGGTTTTGAACTGTTGGTTGCTGTGCTGGTTGTTGTGTTGGTTGTTGTGCTGGTTGTGGAGGTGGTTGTTGTGCTGGTTGTTGTGCATGCCTGTGTCTGTGTCCATGTGACGATGTAAATGTTCTAGGTAGTCCTGGTGCAGGTGCTTCTCTTGGAGGGTTTGGTGGTATATAAGTTCCACCAGCTGGCACATATGTTCCATCTGCAGCGTAATGTCCTACCTGACTTTTCGTTTTTAAGAAAGCATTTACTAGGTCTGTTTTGGTCTGTTGTAACTCTTTTTCTTGACTTTTCACAACAGTTGCTCTAACGGCGTCATAGGCACTTTGAACTGCCTGTCTAGTTGCTGCATCTGTTATTTTCGTCATATTTTGTGCTACTTCTCTTAACTCTTTGTCGAAACCTTCAGACTTCAGTTTCTTTCCAGATGAGAAGTCGTTCACTTGTTTCACCTTACTATGAAGAGCTTCGAAGGCGTTCTTAAAGTCAGCATTCGTTAAAGCTTCATTTGAACTGTCTTCATCCGCTTGTATTTTTGTCCTTATTGACCCTATGAGTTGGGCTGCTTTAGCGTTGGCTTGGGCATCTAACCAGTCATTGTTAGCTTTTATATATTCTGCGCTTTTCATTGCCTTTTGCATGGCTGCGTCGTTATTTTTACTTTCTTGCGCTAAGTTTTCATACTGTACGGTTTGGTTTTGCAACTGTAAAAGTTTTTCTGCCTTTACATTTGCTTCAACTTCCTTTTTATACTCATCGCTATCCATATATGTCTTCAGGGCTTTTTGTTTTATCTCTTCATCTTTCAGTATTTTATATTGAGTAGTATGGTTTTTCAAATTTATGACATCTTGTTCCATTTTTGCTACTTCTGCTGCTTTTTCTGACACTTTTTTCGCATATTCCTCTGTACTTAGTTCTTTCAGTTGTTCTTCTTTCTTCTTTTTCTCTACGTTTAACTCATTGAGTTTCTTTGTGTGTCTGTCATATTCTAGTTTCTTTTCGTTTTCACTTATTTGTTTCTGTATGTCTATGTTTGACTTTTTGACATCTGTTATTTGATTTTTGAGTGAACTCAAATTCATTTGACTTTGAGGGTTATAAGCTGTTCCGTCTGCAGCTCCACCATAGCCTGCCATTTTCGCTAAAAGTGCCGCTCTTAAACCTCCACTCTGTGCACCAATAACTCGGTTTAAAAGCATAGGGTTGCTTGACATTTGTTGCAACATAGTGGGGTCATTCATCATTTGTTGTTGCAACTGTTGTTGTGGTGTCAGTTTTACTATTGGATGTTTCAATGCTCTCTTCCTCTTACGTATATTCTTACGTAGCTTACGTGGCATTTTAAGTGAAGTTAAAAAGCGGTTTTTGACAGATGTTTATATGACACTTTTTGTTCAGCACAAAAAATACTCGGTCAAAGTGTTGTCAGTTTTGTAAAATAACCGTCCTATCTCCGTGCCTATGACGAAGAAATCTTGACAAATTCAAGAGGGTAGAAAAGAGGTTAGAAAAGAGGTTATATCTAACCTTCTACCCTAAACATTATTTTTGTCTGATTTTACGAAGAAGTCTTGACAAAACATTTACGAAGAAGTCTTGACAAAACATTTACGAAGAAGTCTTGACAAAACATTTACGAAGAAGTCTTGACAAAACATTTACGAAGAAGTCTTGACAAAACATTTACGAAGAAGTCTTGACAAAACATTTACGAAGAAGTCTTGACAAAACATGAAAACATATATAATTTGTGAAAAGCTCCTGGAAGACCCGTATATATAAGACCTTCATTATACTCATCAACTTCAAGGCTAGAAGGCACGAAGTGCCTGGAAGCCTCACTACCTTTTTTTTTTTTTTTTTTTTTTTTTTTTTTTTTCATGATAAAGCAGAGTTCTTCTGAAATTGATGTTCTCAAATTTTCATAAAGTTTTACTATGCTCGTTGACTTAAAATAATTATAAAAATATATCTGTTATAATGATATAAGGTTACTTCCATAGTTCTGGATAATTTCAGGTTCGCTGCAATTCACATTCAGAGATTTCTTTACGATACGATGCTTTCAAATCCGATTAATACTACATTGATGACCAATGAATTATATTGCATACCCGGTATCCAGAAATAACAAACATACGATTTCTGATAAACCGTCACTTATTGTGGAATGACTGATAGCGGTAACGCCATTAAGCTAGTTCTCCTCGGCGATTCTGGTGTCGGCAAAACAAGTATTGTTACCCGCTACGTTTCCGGCTCTGCCCCAGAAAACGTAAATCCAACAATCGGCGCTGCTTTCGTCACAAAGGATGTCCTTATCGATGGACAAAATCTCGAACTTCTCATTTGGGATACAGCTGGCCAAGAAGTTTATCGTGGCCTTGCTCCGATGTACTACCGTAGTGCTCTTATCGCATTCATCGTCTACGATGTCACAAAGGCCGAGTCTTTCGATTCAGTTTCATACTGGATTCGCGAACTCAAGACAAACGTCGAAGAGAATATTGTTATTCTCGTCTGCGGCAACAAGGTTGATCTTGAAGATAAGCGTACAGTTGAATACCAGACAGCTCAGAATATGGCTACAGAGAACGGCGCTCTTTACGCTGAAGCATCTGCTACAAACGGTACTGGTATCGAGCGTATGTTCCAAGTTGCTATTTCCACTCTTCTTAAGCAACGTACACCAGGACCATCCCCACAACCATCTGTAAATCTTCAGGATGGAAAGAGCAAGAAGGAAAAGGGAGGCTGCTGCTAAATTTTAGCATTATATTAATGAATTCTGTACTAAACTGCTTTCCTTTAGGTGGAATTATTCATAATTCGATATAAAAGCTTTTTAATATTCAAACTTTTTATCTAATATTTGAAATTTTTGAGAGAAAATTTAAGAAAATAAAAAGGTTTCCGAAATTCATCCCTAACTTCCTATCAAAATAGAATTCAATGGCAATATCAGGCATTAAAATTGATGAATAACTAATATGTAATGGATTTCATAACTTGTCCAATTAAATTAAGGCATTCAATAATAAACATAATTAGAATTTATTATGTAATTCCATGTAAATTCATTTGCTACTGTATATAATGAGTTATGCTCCGGTAACACAAATTATGCAAATACAAAACTCTTTTCATTTGTAAAAAGAAATCATCGTTTATTTCCAAACGATTCAAAAACCTTACAATGCTAATTGAAACTAAAATCATGCAAATAAGCTAATTTTTTTAAGCAATTCCTGCCAAGAAATCATGATATTCCTAATTTACATGAAGCTATAGCAGATGAAATTAATATTTGTATAGAATTTCATTGAGAAATTGCATTCAATATAATCAAAAATCAAAATTAAACCATAAAATGTCCGAAAAAATATGTTTAACAGAGATGAAAGCCATTAAAAAGTCAACGTCAACTCATATCAATATGTTGGAATCAAGAAACAAGAAGACATTGATATGAAATTTATATAAAAAATTTTTGTGTGTAAAGAAAAGATTTTATAAACGTAATTCGTAAACTATTCAAAGTAAAAATTTGTCATTTTTCAATGAGGCATACACATTCAACGTCCAAGAAAATTTCTGACGCGATGATTCCAGCCGAGCTACAACTTTATGTTACTGTTGAGGAATCTCTTTGGTCACTTTCCCAGCGTAGCATGAAATCGGCGGTAGATTTAACAGCTGCATTTTTAAAGATGAAAGGTGATGAAAGATTCATTGCTGAAGCGATCAGAAATGTCAATTTCAGACGCCCAACAAATGTTTCAGTATTAGTTGAGTTCTTGAAACAATTAGAAAAGGCATGTGGAATCAAGTTCAAAGTCGATCCAAATCCATCGGCTTTAATTCCACAAGAAATGAAGCCATTTATGGATCAAATCTTAAATGATAATGCAGAAAAAGTGACAAAGATTAAAAACACATTTGGAACTAGTCCTATTGAGTTAAGTGCTATTTATGGCGCAAAGAAGTGCTTCACTGCTCTCTTAGATAAAAACGGAGGGCAAATAACTCCAGATATTTTGGATGCTGTTGTTTCCGGCGGAAACAGCGATATTTTGGATGAATGTTTTAAGAGAGGAGCCTCATTTAAAGGATATCTCATGGCTGCAGTCGAGTTCCACAGAAATGACTTATGTGATATCTTCCTTGAGAAATATCCTGAAGATTCAACAACAATTGAATTCCCTGTTGCTCTTGCAGCATCAAATATGAGAGCTGCTCTTTATGCACTTCAATTTAACAAAATTGATTTCCCATTCCACGAAGCTGTGAACGGTGGAAGCATCACAATGATAAAGTACTTGATGGAAACAAAAGGAATGAATGTTGATTGCAAAGGAGAATCCGGAAGAACTCCTTTGATGATTGCTTCTTCAATCGGTGAATATGATGTTGCAAAATATCTTTTGGATCATGGAGCTGATGTCAATGCAAAAGATTCAACAGGAACAACAGCAATTATCTACGCAAGCTACTATAATTACTTGCCAATCGTTGAACTTCTTATCGAAAGAAAAGCTGATGTAAATGCGCTCAGAGAAAACGGCGAAAACGCAATTACCGCAGCTGTTGCAGTCAACGCTTTGGAAATTGTTAAAATGCTTCGCTGGAATGAATGCATCATTCAGCAGAAGAATGCTGATGGTGTTTCCAATCTCAAGGTCGCAAGGGATAATGGTTTCAAGGAAATGGCAGAATTCTTGAAGAATAATGGTGCCACAGATTAAATTTTCTCCCAAATAATAAACTTATTCGATTCTAAATAGTTTAATCATTAATTAAAAATTTTTGCTTGATTATATTCATATGATAAAATTGGAATACACTTTGTTTTTCAACAAAAGATTTCCAATTAAAGTCAAATAAGATGATTCAGAGATTAAATTAAGAAAATCTCTATATTCAAATGGATAAGCTGTTGAATTCATGATAGTATTTTAGAATAAATCCAAATTCAATAAAAATATTTTGAAATTATGAATCAATAAGAATCTCATATGACAGCAATAAAAAGAATGACCAAATTAAGAAATACATACAATATTTAGACAGTTTGATATCAAGAAAGATATCAAATAAAAAAATACAAACAAAACAATATAATATTATAGGTAAAAATCAAGGTAAAACCTGGCTCCATCTTCCTTTTTCTGGTTCTGGCTCTTTCTTTTCAACACTTTTAATTTCTTCGGATTTTCCTCCTTCGTCATCAGAATAGTAAGAATAAGAGTAACTACTGTCATCTTCTTCTTCATCTGTAGGGCTTCCGTACAATAAATTCTTAGATTTAAGCATCAAACCTCTATCTAAGTATTCCAGGAACTCCCACATCAAATCTTCAAACTGTTCGAAGTTCTCAACATCATCCTCTGGTATAAGCTTCTTTACAGCCTTGTATTCTTGGAAAATTTTTTGAGATATCATAAAACTTGTGTAAATAGAGTCAGTAACGCTAAGAGCCGCTATCCCAGACATGATCATTGGCTGTGTGATAGCATGAACAGTTACAAAAGCCCTTGTTACCGTTCGAATTTCGTTCATCAGCTTGGAAATGCACAAAAGAAGGAAACCACTCTTCATGTTCTGGAGCCTATCGTATTCTCTGGCCAATTGTAGTAGGAATGGCTGCAAAGTTTCAGGAAGATAATTTGAAACTTTTAATTTCAGTCTTACAGAGTTAATTATGTCATTAAACTCAACTCTTAGGTTATGTAAGAAGAAATTTTCGTGTTTCCAACCGTTTATTTGGCCGATATAGCACCAAAAATCGAGTCTTGGAGATTTACAACTTGCAAGTATCTTTGCTACATCAATAGCAGTGAAAGACTGTCCATCGGGGGCTAGTTTAAACAGTTCGTAGCTCCGTGACTTCGCCTTATGCTTCTGATGTTTAATTATTGAAGGTCGTCGAGGTTGCAAAACCTCATTTGAACCTTCCAAGGTCGTATTTCTTCTCTTTGAGAGTATAGTTTCGACTTCTCTGTACTTTCGCATGGCGTTTGACTTCAGTGGCTCTTGTTGCATCACTAATAAACTGGAAGAAGCGGCCAGAGGGGATCCTAAGGTGAATGTAGTGATTCTGTATGAGAAATTCATCATTTCATACTGAAGACTTTCCGTCCAGATGTTGATTTTTGTATCAATAACCTTTTGATTTGTAATTTGGTTCAACATGTTTTCAAAATCAGTCATTTCCGATATAGTATTATCAAGAATATTATTTTCTACAAAATCAGAAAATTTTTTATCGTTTACACCACCGATCTTATTTCTGATCTTTTTCAGATGCTTTGAATTTAATGAACGGTCAAAGTAGTCCAATTTGTTGTTTTTCTCAAGCATGTTGAGCTTGGTGAACTTGGTCTTCAGTCCTTCATCGTATTCGACGTCATTTGTCTTCTTATTGATCGAAAAAATAGAAATATTCTTATCTGACTGTTCAATGAAGTCGAAAGTGAGCGGAATAGAGATAGGATCAATTACCCATCTGAATGACTCCGGAATCATCAGGTTTTTGTCAACTTGGACTGATAATCCTGGCATTGAATTAATAATATTCTGCAAAATGAGTAAATCCCTAAAAGAAAGGATTATTGAGGCATGGCAACCAACAAATGTATCACCTTGCTTCAAGCAAACACTGCAGCCGTTCTGTAATTTCATTTCTGCCAAAAAAGCATTGCATTGAGGGGAAGTATAGTTATCGCCTATGTACTTTAGTATATGTAGAACAGGATCACCATCTTCTTTGCTGATTATATGACGATGAGTGTACTTATAAGTTCGATATAACGTAATTCCGAATAATTTCTCGCAAAAGAACTGTCTGTTAGCTATTGCCATCTGTCTCAAGGCCGTCTGCTGGTGAATAGTGAGTATATTGAAGGCTAATGCGAATGATTTTAGAATTAATCGGAAATATTCTGAATCTGAGACTGGCCGAGGTAAGTTTAGAAGAGCTTTATCGTATTCCTTCCATAATGTGTAGGAAAAACTTCGATCTGAAATGATAAATTGATGAATAAAGCGAGAATAAATGTAAATAGCGTCTAAATTTATTAGTTCTTGAATAAGCTTCAAGGTCTGCTGCTGGAATTCATCAAAAACAAATTGTCTGTATAATGATGGAAATGTAACTGTTGAAAAATAAGGTAAATCTTCAGGATTACTTGAAAAATATCTGGTAATTGCTTGTGCAAAATTCTTTGGCTTCGAAATACAGTCTAATATCCACTTGGTGGCAATTGAAGCAATATTTACCGAAATTTTTAAAGGTTCCTTTTGATATTTTGAAACAGAATCACGAATTACTGTAGGTACTGTATCAACAACATTAATCATCTTGATGATATTATCCGGATCTTCCTTTTTAATGTCAATATTTACTAATAAAAGGATGAAGTTTGCTTGTCTGGCTATATTTTGTAGAGTAATATCAGCATTTTTGGCTTCAGTTTCAATAGGCTTGACAATATTACTCTGTTTACATCCATTTAGCGATAAAATTTCAGGAGATCGATTCATTATAAAAACATATAAATATACCAAAATTAAGTTTACAAAAATCGTCGAAATTTACATTTGTAAAAAGTCAAATTAAATAAAAGGTGACAATGTCTACAAGTTTAGCTTCATCAAACAACGATAAAGGGGGCGCTGAAATTATAAACGAAGCGATCAAATGGACTGCAGCTACAAGAAAAGATATGATTGCAGCAGTTTTAATGGATCCATCTCTTATTGCTTTCAGAAGTATTGCTCTTGACGTCCCAGAAGTTGAGATTCGCAGAAAATTAGAACAACAGTTATGCGAAGGTTACAAACCACCAAGATAACTTAATGTTTGGCTGCAAATAGCTAATATTCCATTTTTCAATATAAATTTATTCTTGTTGTTTTTATAAATATAAACATACTACTCTAGTACTCGACAATATTATTATTTATGAGATAAACCTTAAGATATTGCAAATTTTTTAGGAAAATAAAAGAAAAAGTTAAAAAGATTGTAAAAACAATTGATTTGGTTCAGATAAATAAACACTTTTTATATAATAACAAACAACAATATCCAAAAAAATTAAAATCCCATTTCAAAAGTATCGTCGAATTCTGTTTCTGCGTTTTGGGCGTTGAAATTCACCACAAGATCTGTTGTAGCAGCAATAAAAAGGAACGCTGCTGCAATTATTCCAAAAAATCCGCAATAAAAGAAATTAGAAGCTGCAATAAAAAGCGTGAACATGTATTTTGACCACTTGCTTTTTTCAATTGGAAATAGAACTTCAAGTCCGAATGGTGAATACATATTTGTAAGAAGATAAAAGCAAAGGACTGTAACTAATAATGCTGAAAGAGTAGCACTGAAAAGGTTATTAATAGGGTCAATAGAGAGATTTAACGTTGGAGAAAAATCCTTTTTTGCCAATTCAAGAAATTGCATTAACGAAGTAGCCATAGCATATAGAAGTGCAACTGTTACAACTCCAGCTACAATTCCATTTCCCATTTTTTAAAAATTTCAGTAAAAGTGACAAAATCTCAAAAATTGACAAATGATAATTTCAATCATTTTCGAAGTTCTTTTAACACTACATAGTTATACATGACCATTGATTGCTAGAATACCAGATTTATAAAAGAAAAAGTAATGGAATTTAGATAAAGTTTTGGATTAGAGAACATCTAAAGGATGGATAGGTTAACAAAGTGCATGCTCTTCAAAATTTAAGGTAAAACCATGACATGATTACTCAACATTTTTTCATTGATCACAAAACTAGAAACACATGAAATATCATGAGGTATCCTCATACCACTTCTCATTGATGATATGAGTGTACTGATAATTCTAATTTAACTAAGCTTTTGCCACAATTGATTTTGATTTACCTCTGATGTAATAACATAATTGTTTTATAATGCCATATTAAGTGGTGTAAAACAATGCCTTCTGTTGCTCAACCATGGGTAGTCTTCTTAATAGGTTTTTATGTTTATTTGGGATCTAAAAATAAAAAGAAAAATAGAAAGTCGTGAATGCGAACAAAACAGATCATATTGCATGATGGTAAGGAAATGAAGTCTAAAACAGTGACAATAAGACGACCATTTTCATCCCAGATGCCTGGAACTGTTTTAACTTCACTAAATTTATAACCATCTTTTGCTGTGAAGCCATATTCGGCTGTTATAGGATTATTATAGAATGTATCATGCGCCGTGAAAGTTTTTTGACTTAATTCTTCAATATTTTCATTAGTCAAGACAAATGAACTTCCACCACCAGCACCGCCGTTCCCATCGTGACCTGCAAATCCACCAAACCATCCTGCACCAGAGCCAGGTCTGTCATCAGACCCACGCGATACTGTAACTCCGTTTGGATTTTTGGATTTATCTCTTTGCGCGGATTCTCCAGATCCAAAGGTGAAGCCGGATACAGCACTGGCCATTCTTTCATCAGTATATTGATGACTATACCAATATCCTTGGGCGACAGAGCCACCTCCAGGACCCCCAGATCCATCATCTTCTCCTTGGTTTATTCGATCAACATGGTAATTATCAGAACCGCCTCCGGCACCGGCTACGATTACTCGATGCCAGAGATCGTTTTTATGGAATTTGACAGCGGTTTGGCCACCACCACTCCCTGCACGACTTATTCTTTCTGAATAATAGCAATTTGATGCATATCCACCACCCCCATAACCACCTTTGATCATGTTATCAAGATAAAAATCTGATTCTACATCGCAATATTTTTGGGTATAAGAGTAATTTCCTCGTCCGCCGATCGTCGCGTATGAGGTCAGTCTGTGAGATAGGCTGATAATGCCTGAGATGTAGCCGCCAGCACCACCTCGACTGCCATTTGCAATGCAATGCGTGTTTCCATGATATGCGGAAACAATTTCTGATTTAGTACATGTTCCGTCTGAATATTGATATGATGATACCATCCCTGGGAATGATCCCCCAGACGCTCCATAAAGTTCAAACTTATATACTCCAGGAGGAAAACTGATAACGTAGTCTGTGCAGTCTGAATATGATTCACATGGATAGTCAAATGTGTATGTGTTGCTGCTAGTATTCTTGCTCACATTTGCAAAACCCTTTGATATATCATCTAATCGATATGAAAGCATTGAATCGACAAATCGTCAACTTACAATATCTAAAATGGTTTGCTATTCTATGTGGAATCAATACCATTGGATTGGAATATAATATTTGCAGTCGAAAACATCCTAAATTAAGCATTATTGCAGTGATTTCGAACAATTTGAAATTGACAACAAATTTATCCGATTTTATCGTCTTGTCTCAATTTTTCTGACAAATTCTGAAAACAGTTGACTTTCAAAAAATGTTCAATACTTTGTAATTTGGGGAAAATAATATATAAAATTAAGTACACTGAAACACAATTTCATGATTTCCTGCAATTACGACTTTTTATTTACATTTATTCCATCAACGATGTTTAAAAATACCAATCACTTCAAATTGTTTTGGACATTATAAATTCATTAAAAAATGGGAATATCCTGATGAGTATTTGCATATGTTTAAGGGTGCACTTACCACTTTCTGATACGCTCAGATAATATCATCATATCTTTAATTTAATGGCAAAAGAGTATAATAGCCATGTTAGTTAACAAGCAGTGATAAATAATAACTTTTTCCTGACAATAAAATATTAACTTTTTATTATAGAAAATTGGGATATAAAGTGTGGATGTCAAAAAAATTGAGAGCATGTCAGAAAGTGGTAAGTGCACCCTTAACACACATCAAATAAAAAAAGTTAATAAAAAGTGTTTCTAAAAATATAAGTTTTTGTTTTGAATATTACAGACAATCTTTATAAACAAAAAAATATTAAATTTATAATTGAATTCTTGCAACTTGGTTCTGTGTAAAGCTCACATTGCAAACAGGACAAGCATTTCTCTGGCTCAGACAATCGCTGCAAAAACAGTGTCCACAAGTTGAAAGAATCACGTTTCTTCGATTTCTCTTGCAAATAGGACACATTACTCTGCTCACATACTTGTTTAGCATTGTAGCTTGCACAGGGTTTATTGGTCTTACATCTGCGTGGTCTTTATCAAAAGTTAATTCTTCAATTCTTGAAATTAAAATTTGTTTTTGAGAAGCAACCTTTGCAAGATTCAGGGATTCTTCTTTGAGGTCCTTTATTTCCTTATTCAGTGATTCCACTGTATCTTTTTCTTCACTTTTCTCATTTTTCTCAAATTTGGAATTTAATTTTTGTTCTGCTTGGTCATACTTAGCTTTTGCTTTGATAACAGAGTCACATATATCATTCATAGACTTAATCATTACAGAAACATCCACTTTCTTGAGACTTTCCATTACATTCTTCAACTTATTTTCTAAATTCGAAAGAGATTCGAGTTCTTGACCGTTATAATACGTGTAGACTTCATTTTCAGTGGCTTTTGCTGTGAGTTCTAGCACCGAAATGTCTGTCTTGGCTAAGGAACTGATCATAGAATACAAGTTTTCGTACAAAATTTCTGTATCAATGATTTCTTTGAAAAATTGAGAGGAAATTTTGTTTTCAAAGGAGTTCCAATCGGTTAAAAGTTCATTTGAGGACGGTTTACACGTGGTTATGACCTGTGAACATAAATTTGACACTTCGGATCTTATTTCTTCCGAATCAAAGAACTGAATTTCCTTTATGAAGCTGGTAATGGCTGGAGACACATCTGTTTGTAACGTAAATGAACTTTCTTGGTGGCTATCCAATACATTGTTAAGAGATATGATTTGTTGTTTGATATCGTTAATGGAAGAGCGGCATTCTTCATGATACATGGAAAAAGCGCGACAACAGGACTCAATTAACGTGTCGAAATCGGAGACACAAGCAAGTTCTCGCTCTTGAAGGGATAATGCGTGTCTTAAAAAGGCGGATCGTGCAGATAGGGACTTAAAGAAGGGGGAGTTCCTAATGGTAAATGGTGTATATGTGGAGGGATCTTTTGGATCTGTGTTTTGTATCAGGGATCTTGAGATAGTAATATATTCTTGTAATTGCTTAAGAGTTACGATACGATGGGCAGCTTGTGATATCGAAAAGAATGACTGTGACATGTTGTCTGTAATATTGAACTCTTTAAGCATGTAATCTCGGAAATTAATAATTTGTTCGGGAGAAAGTGGTTCTACAATAGGAAAATCAAGCATTTTTTGAATAACTAAGTCAAAAGCAGGAAATTCTTTTAATTCTGCTTGTGCTTTAGCGATTTCTTCTTTTTGAAGTTCTGAAACTCTATTAAGGTACTCATCAAATCTTAAATTAATCTGCGAAGCTGGTATTAAAGCAATTTTAGAGGACTGTAGTGTCGCAGTAATGGATTTTGCTGTACCTATTAATGAATTAAATAATAATGAAGCATGTTTCGATGATTCTTTTGAAAAATTGTAAAGATCTTGTGTTTCGTATACTGTGTATTCAATATATTCTGTAATTTTTTGTAAGGGAAGCAAGCCATTTAAATATTGGCATAACATTAGATCTAAAGTAAACATTTGAGTTTGTTGAAGGAGAGAGAAATAGGTAGATGCTAATGATTTTACAGTTGCTTCCATTTTTTGAAGAGATGAATATGTTGATCTTATTTTTTCTTTTAATTCTTGAATTCTTAAAGATGCAGTATACATTTTAGCATTATCTGATACTGAATCTGTATTTGACCTAATATCTGTATTGTTTAAGTCTGGAACAGAGATTAAATTGACGTATTTTTGCATCCTTCAAAAAATAGGATGAAAAAAATTGTTTTCTCAATTATGAATAGCTTATAATAAACCAATCAATAATTTAATAATATTTTTTTTATAAAATTCATACGTTATCGCTCATTTATTTTTGAAAAAATGGGAAATGAAGAGAGTATGTCTTCAAGTCAGTCAATAGGACTGCCTGCATCAGCTCCAACACAGACATCATCTGTACTTACCGAGCTCCAAGAATCAGAAAAAGAATGCATCGAAAAATCTCAAAAAGTTATTACAGATTATGAAACGTATTTCCAGAAACGAGGATCAAATCTGATAGAAGATTTTAATAATAATCTACGTTTTGATCCGCCAATGTTTGATTTAGAAAGAAAATTAATTGAAAATACATATATTGACTATAGACCTTTACAATCAGATATACATACAAGACTAAAGCGTTATAAAAATAGATCGCTCTACGCTCATGGCATAGAAGTTCAAGAAAAAGAACAAACGTACAAATTATATGTTAAGGCCTTTATAGAGAATGATAAATACGAGCTCGATGTCCAAGTAAACTCAAAAATGCAACGACTTATGCTTCTTAAAAAACAAAACGCGGAATTAAAAGAAAAAATTGAAAAAATTAAGGCCAGAATTTTAGAATCCAGTGTATGAAAATACTATCTTCCATAGAGCTCTATTGTTTACTAAAAAATATTAAAAAAAAAAACATTGAATGATTTTGGGTATCTGATCACAACAATATCTTTTATATGAAATGAGCAGTTATCCAATAAGTTATTTTAACCGAAATAAAACATATTCTATTAAATTTTCAATATTTCAATATTTAAATCAATTTTATTATCACTACATTGATTTCTGTATACCTTGGTAATAATATGGTATTCATTCTTCGTTTTATTTATAATATATTCTTTCATATCCATCAATAATTTCAATATTTAGTTGGGTAGTAGATCAGGCAATTTAAAACTCTTGGAGAGAGTTATTTATATTTAACAACGCTAAAAGCAGATGAAAATGAACAAAAATAAGGCAAAAGTGATAATATCTTCTTATTTATGAAACAAAAAAACATTTTTGAAAAACTTTTCATGGTGAAATGAGTATAAGAGTGAATGAGATAAAATATGAACATTGTGTGTATCTGATTGATATACAATTACAATATGATGAAAAAGTTCCAAAAATTTCAATAGCATAAAAGGAAAGTTCAGTGCTACCGCATGAAGTTAATCCTTTCCCAGAAATTCGAAGATGCTTCAATGTGACAGGTTGGGGAAATTTATATTCTCTAATTGTTTCAGTATCGCAATCGCAGGCCGGAGCATGTTCACTTCTATCACAAAATGGATCATTTGTTTCCATAATAAATTTGTAATTAGATCCATCAAGTGATGAATCAATTACTGAACTACTCAAAAAAGTTAGACGATCTCCATCTTTGATTTGAATTTTTTCAACATTAACAAATGTTTTGAGAAAAGATAATATATACGTATTCGTTCCAGAACTATTTGCAGCAAAGGCGTTAGACGAATTCCAATACAAGCTATTAACGCAAGGATAATCAGGTTTCATAGATGCACTGGTGCAATCAATTTCGTCATGGGCGTAGCCATTGTTACTCATTAATTTTTCAATAAGTTTCGTTTTAAAAAAGGATTTTCATGAAAAATGACAATTTTCAAAAAAAAATAGTTCTAAGCAATTTCTATTTGAATTTTTGACTGTAGGTCTCTCAATTTTGAAAGGATAAAAATTTGTGCTCTCATCCGATTTTTTCATGAAATATTATTATCCAATTTATTTAGAATGAATTAAATTTTCAATTGGAATTCAGCCATTATAAAATTCAAAATGAAACCTAATCTTAGCATCACCAAAGCACATATTCAGGGAGAGCAAAAGCCAATCTGGCTAAATAGCATGACTGGATTAAGTCCTAAGCGTTTTTCTCTAGCAAATACAGCTAATTCTCCTTGTAACAATGATAATAAAGCACAACTTACAAGTATTTTATGTGATGCACTACTATCTAATTCAAAGGATAGAGAAATTCGATCTAATTATAAGCAGATCATTCATGAATATTTTCAAAGTCACCCAGAAAAACTTATCAAAGATAGAAAGAGAAATAAAGATGCAATATCAATAACAAAAGCAGAAATTGAAGAAGTTTTTGGTGAAGATTCAAACGAAGACAATTATTATATGAAAATGCAACTTTTATTTGACTTTATTACAACACATAGTATCAATAAGACAAAATGCCAGAAAAAAGTCCAAAAAGTAAGAAAAAGTGAACCTCCATCTGGCCTTGATTCCCAAAACTCAGAAGATTCATTTACTTTGGAAAATATACAGAATGATAAAACCATTGACGATATTTTGCAAGAACAAAATGGAGACAAATTTTCTGAATCTATTCCAAGGGCGCATATTGTCAAAACTAGAGAAGGATTGCTGACTAATAAAGAAAGTAACCAAGAACCCGCAATTATTCAGCCAAATAATCAAAACATTATTGAGATTGAAATTAAGAACTTACAAAATCTGATTTATCAGCATGAAAATGAGCTTCTAGCAAATTTGGTAGCTATTAACAAAGGTTCCATTTCTTTTTCACTAAAAAATTCAGAACAATATGTATCTAATGCATGTTTACATGTAATATTCAGTATCCAATCAATAGATCCTCAGTGCAATGCATACACGAACTGTGTTTATAATATGCGTCAATTTCACCTGAATTTTTTGACAAATTTGTTAATGTTGTCCAAAAAAGGAATAAGCACATTCAGAAAGCAAATATAAGATATGATAAGGAATAATTCTCTACAAGAAACACCCTTAATTCAAAATGGTTCAAAACATCAAGTTATCAATTCAAATTTAGCTGAAATGGATAGAAAAGAAGAAGCGTCCTCACAAAATTGTGTTAGTAAATCTTTGTCAAATGATTTAAAGCCTGAAAATCAAGTTTTGATTACAAAATATGTTAAGATTGAATCAAAATCAGCCATATCACAAAATGATTTCAATGAATCTTTTACCCCAAAGGTAGTTGTTAAAGAAGGTAGTATAATTAATTCAGAAAAAGCTGATGAAATAAAAATAGAATCAAAAATTACTTTGGACAAATCAAATAATGACCAAAATAGTTTTATAAAAGCTGATGATGAATCCACACATATTATTCTGAAAAATGAAGCAGAAATTTCAGAATTAAAAACATCTCAAGAAAATGAAGCAGAAACACATCAAGATCACCGTAAAAGCAGCGATTACATTAGCAAAAAAGAACATATATCTTCTCAATCAAATGAAAATCATGATGAAACAAAAAACACCGACGGAACATCAAAAGAAAATGATCAAAGTAAATTAAGTTCTTATTATAGAAAGCTAAAGATGATGAAAAATAAAATAAAATTTCCAAATTCAACATCAAAAAGCATTGAAAAACCAAATGATATAAGTTCAGGAAAAATAAAAGAGTGTCCTGATAGCTATATTCTAGAAAGAATTAAGAAAAATGAACCAAAAATTTCAATATCTCATTCAATTTCACAGGAAAAGATAAAATCTCAGTCATTGACTGAAGAAAGAAAATCTTTCATGAATATTGCATCTAATTACAATAAAACTCACCAGAATCTCACAGAATCACAACAAAAACAAAGAATTTCTTTGTTTGAAAAAGAAAGCAAAGTTCCTGTTTTTTTCAAGAAAATACAAGAAATTCAGAATGGTAATACTGATGAGACAGTTGTCATTCATGGAAATCAATCGATTTTCGATAGGTTGACCAAAAATATTTCAGAATCCAAAAGCGAAGCTATGCATCAGGAAGATTCACATTTTATGGCAAAGGATTTCATTTGTTCTCACGTCTTTGTTCCTTTCCAACCCAAATAATTTTTTGATAATTATAAAATAAGAATAATTGTTTGTAATAAAAATGAATTATAATTTTATTGCAATGTGAGTATTGTTGTATATTAATAAGGTAAAATATGTTTAAATTATATTCAAATAGTTGTGACACTTTTTCGGGCTTATTTATATGCCCGAAAAAGTGTCACAACTATTTTGAATATATTTATGTAGGAAATTAGAAGTCATGTTCTTATTTGTACTCTCAAAAATGAGAAAATGATAATGAGAAATATAAAATGCTTCATAATGTTTATAATTATTTAATCTTATATTTAGTTTCTTAATATTTCATATCTCTCTTCATTCAATTTAAACGCCATAATAGATATAAATACATTTAATCGCTTTTAATGATGAAGGATTGAGGTATATCAGGAAATAGATAAGTTAAAAAAATTAAAATTTTAATCAATAATTAAATAAAAAAAAGTTAAACTAATGATAATTCAACGTGTTGTTCTTCTGAATCGTTTTCGGATTTGTGTATTTTATATTTGTAAATGAAGAAAGCAATGACTGCAATGGCTGCCAGAATAAGAATTGCTCCAATTATACCTCCAGCAATTTTTCCGCCTTTACCTTTCCCTTTGCCATCTTTACTAGAATCGTTTTCTTCATTGTTGCCACCACTGTTGTCTTGGTTGTTATTATTACTGCTAGCAGTAGCAGGTGATGATTTCTCTGGTTCGTTGGTTTTTTCTGGTTCTTCACTTCCAGATTCTTCCTGATATTTAACTTCGAATGGAATCAGCTGAGTGCATTGATCTGTTTTTTCGCTGATCTTGACACCACCTATAGTCTCACCTCTAAATGCGCTTGATGTAATTACTTTTTTGAATCCTTTAGAGTTTTTAAGGAAAGAATTATCGGATATTGATTTACCACAATATATAAATGTGTCAATTGATACATTCTCGAAAACATTCTCTGTGAAGCCTTTGATTGATCTAGATATTGATATATTTAAAGTTATATCTTTACGTAGACTTGGAGAAAATGTAAACTTTGATGAAGGATCAACAATAACAATTGTAGATAATCTATATGCATCAGGAATATCTCCCATGGATTCGAGATTACTATTGTTAATAATAAGTGTTTGGATTCTGAAAATTGAGAAATTATTTCTTTCTGGTATTGGTGTATTTGATTCATAAACCAATGTGTCGAATTTATCACATTTATCAAAAGACGACGAGTATCCTATATATACAAATGCATTTAAATCATATTGGACTCTAACCGTTTTTAAGTTTGTGCATCCCTCGCATACATCTACTGAGATATTGACTAATGAACTTGGAAAAGTGAGACTTGTTAAGCTTGTACATTCCCCAAATGCAGTTTCGGCAATTTTTTTCAAATTATTGCCTTCAAAAACAATTGATTTCAAATAAATGCATTCAAGAAATGCGCTTCTATCTATTTGAATTACCTTTGGTGGTATTACTATTGTTCGAATAATGGTGCCCCAAAAACATGTTTCTCCAATGCTTTCAACTGTATCTGGAATAGTGAAATTTTTAAATCCACAATGGGCGAAAAGTGATCCATTTAACCTATTAATGCCTTTTGGAAGTACTATTTCTTGAAGTCCATACATCGAGGAAAATGCAGAAAAATCTAATGATTTACAAGAATCTGGAATAACAATGCGTTTGCACTTTGCATTATTGTAAGATATTCCAGAACCTAATGTTTCCAATCCATATGGAAAAACAAATTCTTCAATAATTGTCTTCGCAAAGCATCCTTGCCAAATAGCCTTTAAATTTTTTGGAAATGTGATCTTTTTAAGATATTTGCATCCCCAGAAAAGTTCTTCTGCTAATTCTGTAACTCCGTCAGGAATTACGATGTCGTATACGGCTGTATTACGAAATGCGTCATTTCCTATTGATTTTAAATTTTTTGAAAATTTAACTTGGTAACATTGAGTGCAACCATCAAATGCATAATTTCCTATTGATGTTACAGTATCTGGCATGGTAACGAAGTAGACTTGATTACAATTTTGGTATTGAAAATTTGCAATGGAACTTGTTCCATCTTGAATAGTAATTGTGTTTCCAGTTGGGCATTAACCTGCATATAGAGTGTTTATTAGCATGAATAACATAAAAAAATGTGAACTCAAAATGAGTTTTGTTGAATTCTTTTGAATTCAAAAAATTGTGATCCACTTCTTTAGTTTTATAAAATAGTTGTGATTACATGAAAAATTCATATTTTGAAAATTATTTGATTTCAATTTCAAATAAATTTGTCAGATTTTCAGGGAAGAAATTGAAATTGGTCTACTTTTTCTGAAAAACTTCTTAATTGGATCGGAAAGATGTTTATTGTACAACAATACTATGTGCGTGTTACTTTATTTATCATTGTCGAAACTGATCACCTTGTCCTCTCAGAAAATTTATGAATAAGTAAAATTTTGAATCGTCTTCACTGAACTTCTTGTTTTACACTCTTTGTTATATATTTTTACACAATGAATCCGATTTAATATGACTTTTTCAATAGTTAATCGGATGGCTTATCCTTTGGCTATCACTTAATAATAAAATTTTCAAAAGAACGATAATATGCGTCGACAAAACGTGAATTTTATCTGCTCTGATCGCTTCAAAACTGATTCTGACTAATTAAAGCATAGATTGATTCCAATTCAGTATCATAAATATGTGTGATGTTCCTATGACAGAATATTTATTTGTTTTTGACAATCTGCTAAATCAAAGTTCAATTTATGGATCATATTAGTTCTAATTAATAGCAACTATTCACTTATGAATTGAAAGATCTAATTATATGGTTATGATTTGAAAAATTCTCAATATAACTAGTTCTATGCTGTAAATTTTATAAAAATATTAATTTCTCATAGTTAGAGATTAAAACTAATCGGAACGCAGTTCCAACATTTCGAATTATTATATAGATTCCGACAAAACTGTTCAGTAATATATGTCAAAATCTGGCCAAACTCATCCTATCGGCAATGTCAAAAAATATTGTAAATTATCTGTTTTTTTTTTATGCTGAGTGATTCACAAAACGTTACATTGACTGATGGAATGGTAATGAGAGCCACTAAGTCAAATAATATTGAAGAAGTAGAAAAAGTCTACTTTTATCATGAAAATCTTTCAGATATTGCAATAGTTGAATACATGATCAACTTAGAAATCGCGTATTTTACCGGAAACAAGATTAGAACCCTTAAGCCATTTGCAAAATGTCAGAAATTGCGTGAATTATATATCAGATATAACCAAATTTCCTCATTCGAGGAATTAAATTACTTAAAAGAGCTTAAAAACCTTAAAGTACTATGGATGATGAATAACCCTGTATCAGAACAGCCAAATTATCGAGAATTTATTATAAAATCCTTACCACAACTAACAAAATTAGATGATATTGAAATTTCTGATGCAGAAAGAAGATTTGTTGCACTCACGAAATCAAATTCCTACAAAGATAGCCGAAATGCTTTTGCTCCTGGCGATAAATTAGCTCGAACGCCAAAATCCTTTGCCGATGCTCCAGAATTCGATTCAAAGCTTGTTCAGCAACCACCAGCTCCAACTCCTTCGCAGCCATCACAAAATACGCATGAGCACAGAAGAGTACCTTCTTCTTTAGCATCTAAGAAACAAAGCGTTGCTAAATACCATACACCCCATTCAAGATCATCACTATCAGATTCTGCTCAAGAAGATGATAAAAATTTACTTACTGCTGTTTTAACTCTTCTTCCAGAATTATCTGTCGATTCACTAGAAATTGTACTTCATAAGATTCGCGAACTTACACAATAACCATGATTAAATAAATTATTGTATTATTAAAATAATTATTACTTCAAATTTCCCAATTTTATGTTTTAGCATTCAGCTTCTATTCATGCTTCTAACAATGCTTCTATGGGCTTTCAAGAAAAAATTATCAGGTGATTTGTCTGCAAAAGTTATAACTAATTTCATAAAATTTTTAAAAATCCATTTAATCAACGAAATATCCTCCAATTTCTCAAAATCTAAGTTAGTACAATATAGTGATAAGCAGAGAAGTATGGAAAAATTAAGAAATAAAAAAAATTAATTAAATATAAAAAGAAGGAACTGAAATATAGTAATTCATATACTATGTACACCAATATATTGTACATTATATGGCCATATTCTGTAATTCAGATCAACCATGGATTTGTCTGCATCAAAGAATGCTCAAGCTACATTTCATTTTACTCATTATAACTCTATACATAGCTATAATAGCAGTATAATATCTACTACAACTATAATCCACTCAAAATATTATATCTATGTATTATGGCATTTCTCTGATCTGGGATATTACTCTCGCTGGTTGCTTCGTAAACTATTGAAATTTGAGATTTTTTCCAAATGCAGAGACTCACAGAGCAACTATGAAGGTAAAAAAGTAGTGCACTAACAGCGTGCATATTGCAAAGAATATTCCTGCACCTCATGCAGCCTCTAGCTTTGAGATTTTATTGCAATCTGAGATTTCAAGATCTTCACTCTAACTTAGTAAAAACACATTTTAATTAAGCGCATGCATTTCACATATAATACAGTATATCTTCTCGCATAATTACTCACTTTTTCAAATCACTGATTGAGCTAAAAAAAAATAAGGAAAGATTTAGGGAAAATTTCAACGAAAAGGCTTCGTAAGAACTTGATCTTATCCGACTAAATTTATATTATCTCGTTCTTACCTAGTCATATGCCACACATAGAATACATTAGTCTGAGATTCTTTCGATGCCTCACATTAAATGAGAGATCTCGGAAGAATTTCACTCTATTCAATAAATTACAGAGTTACTAACCAAATAATGATCATTGTATATATCATGAAATAGATAAGATAAAAAAATTAAAATTTTAATCAATAATTAAATAAAAAAAAGTTAAACTAATGATAATTCAACGTGTTGTTCTTCTGAATCGTTTTCGGATTTGTGTATTTTATATTTGTAAATGAAGAAAGCAATGACTGCAATGGCTGCCAGAATAAGAATTGCTCCAATTATACCTCCAGCAATTTTTCCGCCTTTACCTTTCCCTTTGCCATCTTTACTAGAATCGTTTTCTTCATTGTTGCCACCACTGTTGTCTTGGTTGTTATTATTACTGCTAGCAGTAGCAGGTGATGATTTCTCTGGTTCGTTGGTTTTTTCTGGTTCTTCACTTCCAGATTCTTCCTGATATTTAACTTCGAATGGAATCAGCTGAGTGCATTGATCTGTTTTTTCGCTGATCTTGACACCACCTATAGTCTCACCTCTAAATGCGCTTGATGTAATTACTTTTTTGAATCCTTTAGAGTTTTTAAGGAAAGAATTATCGGATATTGATTTACCACAATATATAAATGTGTCAATTGATACATTCTCGAAAACATTCTCTGTGAAGCCTTTGATTGATCTAGATATTGATATATTTAAAGTTATATCTTTACGTAGACTTGGAGAAAATGTAAACTTTGATGAAGGATCAACAATAACAATTGTAGATAATCTATATGCATCAGGAATATCTCCCATGGATTCGAGATTACTATTGTTAATAATAAGTGTTTGGATTCTGAAAATTGAGAAATTATTTCTTTCTGGTATTGGTGTATTTGATTCATAAACCAATGTTTTCAATTCAGTGAAATGACCGTAAGAAAGCGTGTCACCATAATACACAAAAGCCTTTAAATCACATTGGATCACTACTGTCCTTAATACATTGCATTCTTCACATACATCCATCGAGACATTAACTAATGAACTTGGAAAAGTGAGCCTTTTTAATCTCCCGCAATGAGAAAATGCCAACTGGCCAATTTCTTTCAAATTATTGCCTTCAAATGTAATGGATTCCAAAGCCCAGCACTTATAAAATGCATTTTTACCTATTTGAATTACCTTTGGTGGAATTGATATTGTTTTTAAATCGGTTCGACTAAAACATGATGGTCCAATTATTTCAACTGTATCTGGAATAGTGCAATTTCTTAACGCTGTGCCTGAAAAAAGGGATTCATTTAACGCTTTAATACCTTTTGGAAGAATAATTTCTTGAAGTCCAGAGCATCCGGCAAATGCATAAAAGATTATTGAAGTACAAGAATCTGGAATAACGACTCGCTTGAGACAGCGGTTTTCCTCAGTTATTTCGTAACCAATGTATTGAAGGCCATATGGAAAAACTAATTCTTCGACAATTGTTTTGCCGAAGCATCTAGTATGAATTGACTTCAAATTTTTTGGAAGAGTGACCTTTTTTAGACTCGAACATCCATAAAAAGTCTCTTGATTTAGTACTGTAACCCCATCTGGAATCACAATCTCTTCAAAACCTGCATTACGAAATGCAGCATATCCGATTGAGATTAAATTTTTTGAAAGAGTAACTTTTTTAATAGGATTGGTATCAAATGCTAATGCTCCTATCGATGTCACAGTATCAGGCATTATAAGAGTATCAACAGTGACGCAATATTCATATTGTCTATCAGCAATGGAAGTTGTTCCTTCCGGAATTCTAATGGTTTGACCTGGAGGGCACCGACCTGCACAGAGAGTGTAAAATAGCAAACATAGCATTATAAATGTGTGCTTGGTTTCTTTTAAATTTTTTGAACTTTTAAAATTTTTGATTTAATTTGTTAATTTTATTTGAGAATTTTCTATTTTTCAGATAAGATTGAATGTAAATTTATGAAAATGCTTTTTCTGAAAATTTCTAATTGTTGAATCGGAAATAAATTTTCTTTATGAGTATGCCATATGTATGTTCCGATATTTATCACTGGCAAAAAATTAGAAATTGTCCTCTCAGAAATTGCCTTTATTGATATTATTGTTTGATTTATATTGTATGATAATAGGTAGTCTTCAATAATGAATTATAGCTATCTCAAAATCGCAGTTGTTGCGCAATTTAATTTTTTGAGGAGGTAAAAAAGGTTGTATGAAATTAAGGTTGCTTAAATATGAAATATAATATGATTTATATATTTTAATAATTCAAACCAAACAAATTTATTACTGAATAACTCACAGGACAATACCTGATGGCAATCGTTATTGTTTTCTGTTTTGATCGGTGCATTCAAAAGTGCTTTCTAATAAAACTATTCAAATATGAATTTTTAGTTTTGATCAAATATCTCCATTCCTTTATGAATTGAATTTTCTAATAGCGATTTGAAAAGAACTTTAAAAAAAGTGTAGAAAAGTCTAGAATATATATAATGGATCACAGAGTCCGGACCCCTAGTTTTTGATGATGAAGTTTGGTAAAAACTTGTGTCGGCGTCACGACAAAAAGTTAAGAAAATTCAGATGTTTATTTTTGACTAGTTTATGGTATCACGAGAAAACATATGCACAAGCAAATGAGAAAATAAAATATCGAAGAACTTGGATCGTTTAATACCAACAATAGTGTTCATTTTGTAGAATTCCTTGCATCCGAGATACATCTCTGAATGAAGGAAAATCACAATCAAAATTTGATTGCATAACTTTGATTGGCAAGAATCTGCAAAGCGTTCTTGTGAGTCATATTCTGATCATTGCGTCTGAGACACTTTGTCTGTGCAAGCATCTCTGAAGTTAATTATTGAATTTGACTGTAATTTTTTAAAAAAAAATTTGCTTACCGTCTATAAAAAGGTCCAAGGAATTATTTTTTGTCCAAGGAATGCTATCGAAACATGATCGACACTATTCAAATTACTGGCAAAAATGTCAAAAAATAAGAATAATATGAATTTTTTTCTACTTTGGATTATTGTAGATACTTGAAATAGACAAAATCATAAATAGTTAGTTATTAAGTATCTATTTATTAAATAAAAATGATACCAAATTCAGCTTATTTTTTGACGCTCTGCCAGTGGTTTGAATATGTGCCGATCATGTTTTGATAGCATTCCTTGGACAAAAAATAATTCCTTGAAATTATTTGACGACGGTATATCTTTTGGAAATATCATTAGGTAGAAGTCAAAGAAATACAAATAAGTGTAAGTTGAAGATTAAAATACATTTTAAAATTTAAAAATGAGAATATAACATCAAAGTAGCATTATCTTCAAGATTATGCTTCATCAATATCATAAAACACATATATTTAAATTATTTAAGATAATTATCGTTTTTCTAATAAAAATCAATTAATTTTCATCCATTTCATCCATTACTGACAAAATATTCTCGGCAGCGCTCGATACATCAATATTATCGCTTGTCAAGAGGTTATTGATTGATTCTATGAATGTTTCATCGTCAAATAATTGAATTGCAGCTTCATGGAACGGATAATTACTATTTGATACGCAATCATATACAAAGCCAAGTATCTCAATCAGAATTTCATTTGAGCTTGCGTTTAATGAAATTTTGGCGAAATCAAAAAAGAATTTCGGGTCAACATTTCGAATTAGATCAAAACTACTGGATGTAAGTAATGCGTGTGCTAATTTCATGATGGAAAATTGTACTTTGAAGGCTTCGCTTTCTTCTCCATGGATTAATTCCAAAATTTCTTGAATTTCAGAGGAAGAATTAATAGTTTCGTGAGAAACAAGAATAGTGATAAGATCTATAATGAGAATTTTCAATTCATCTTCATTATATCTGGAAAAATTTGTTGAAAGAAAAGGTAAAATTTCATTTCTTAATAAAATTTGGCATCCATTGAATTCTTCTGTATCAATTAAGGCTACATTAGTCAGCAGAACCAATGCGTCATTCATTAAGTATTTATATCCAATTCCAAGTAATTTTTGCATGAAATTTTTGAGAATTTCTGTATTTGAAAAGCAAATGTATATGGAACTGAGGAGACAATTAACAATTTTGATTAAAAATTGGCCGCAGTTTTTCTTGTTTGGAATTAATTCAAAAATAATTTCGAGATTTTGAGGATCTAGTGCAAATAAGTTAGAAAACTTGTCAATAAATATGTATATGCTAGATATTATTGGAGAAAATGTAGGAAGATTCTTAATTATATGAATAAATCGCGTCATAAGAATTTCAGGTGGAAAAGCGCTTTGAAATTCTTCAAAAACATACATTTCCATGAAGCATTGAATTGCTAGATGGGATGGAAATAGTGCAAGTAGCCTTTGCCCAAGCTCTAAACAAATTAATTTTTCTTTAGCAAAATTTGGACTGTATTTAATAAATGAAAGTATTGCTTTTGTAGAGAGTGTTGTTATCATGCTATTTGTGGATTCTAAAAATGAAACAATTTTTTCAATTAATTTATCTGGATCAGGAAATGCGTATGCAATAGAAGGATCACACTGAATTAATGGAATAAGGTTGGACAATCCGTTTTTAATTCTTTCAATATCGTCTGATTCTAATTGATTTTCGATTTGAATGACAAATTCTTGGTATAAAGATGATGCATTTTTATCTTTACTATACCCGTATGAGTTTTGCGGTTGTCGTGAATCTACCCTAAATGCGGCAACTTTTGCAGCATCTTGAGAATCAAATTGTGGAATCATTCATAAAAATGCATATTCAAAGCTTAAAAATCACAAAATTAGTATGTGATAAAGTTTCAGTTTAATTTCATATCTCAAATTAAATATGAAAGATCTATTAGAATTTTTATTATTAAAAAAAAACGCAATTTCACGTGGAGCTCCTGAAAAGTATATTTTTATGATAAATGATATCCATTAGATTTTGTCGTGCAATAATCTTAAGGGTGCACCCGCATGTACGTTTATTTGAGAGGAGGATTACCCTCTCAATTTTGAACGCTTCGTTAGCGCAATATCTCGATGAATATTGTATTAAAATTGAATTTGCCCATACCATTATATCTGATACAATATCCTTAAGTTTTACTAAAAAGAATTTTTTAAAATCCCTGCAGATTCGGGGATTTTTAAATTTTTTGATTTTTTCCGCAAATTTTTCGAAAAAAAAAATATTTTCAGAAGAGCCTTAACAGCTAAGTTTTATGTTTAATGTTGAGTATCAAAAAGAATGGGCGTCTGATATAGCCATCATATATCCCAGAAGCAAATAAAAATTCTGACTTTTTAAGCATAAAAAAATGAAATTTTATTTTTTGCAAAAAACAGGCCACCCGGATGTACGTTTATTTGAGAGGAGGAGGATTAAATTTTTGAAAGCAGTAAAATTTGTAAATATTCTAGTTATATAATAATATGTATTATTTTAAAAAATAAAAAATTAAAGCACGTTAAAATTTTTTTTGATGAATTTTTACAAAAGCTACTTAGGATTATGCAAAATATAGTAATTAAACATAAATTTCAAATCAGATTTTACTTATGATAAATATTTTAAATTTCCGAAAATTAAGTTCAGATCGACTCGATACGTTGTAATTACTAAATAAGGTGCCAAAAACCTATTAAACAGTATCAAAACTATCAAGATTGTAATGTTTTTGAAGAAAAATTTATAGAATTATGAACTTCAAACAGATATTATGTAAATAAAAATAATATAATGGATTTGTTTATTCGTATAATAGCAGCAATAAGTCGATTATTCACTTCTACTTCTGAGATTTGAATTTAATTTCGACAGAAAAAGAGATTCAAGAGGAAAATACTAGGGAATACAAACTGCCACCATGACAGGATTATTATGGAGCCAAGTTGTACTTTTTGATATTTTTAGAGTTTTACTACCTATTTAGGTACCAAGTAATTGCTTAAAAATTAAGGTTCTAAATTCTGAAGTTTACATGATCCTCCCGGGCGCACCCTTAAGATTTGAGTCAATGGATAAGAAGTGCAAAAAATTGACACTTTACGTGTGATGTCATAAACTATTCAAAATCGAATGAAAAAAGTCTTGGTGCACCCCCTAAGTTAACCTTTCAAACTTTCAGAAATTTTGTAGATAGTAATAAATAAAGGGAAAAAAGTTGTTGTGTGTCATATTTTTGATAGTTATTTTTGACATAAAAACAAAAGATGCAGCAAGAATTTGACTTTTCAGAATTCTTCGATAAAAGCCTAGTGACTGATTGCCTGATTAAATTCGAAGGTTCTTCATCTGCTGAGATCCGCGCACATAAGTTAATTCTCGCAAATTCATCAAATTTCTTTTTCAATATGTTTACTGGCCAAATGGACGAAGAGCGCACAGGAACTGTTAACTTAGTATACAATCCTGATAATCTTTTGCAAGAAGCTATCCGTTGGATGTATAATGGTAAAAAATTCTATGAAGACTATGATATAGAAAAGCTCCTGAAGTTATATGCGGTTTCTGCATTTTATACAATAGAAAATCTTCAAAATGATCTTAAAACAGTGATTTCTCAAAAAATACCACAATTAAAAATGCTAAACTATTGCGATTTCTGTTATAAGCAAGGTCTTAGTGAAACCCTTAATTATTTGGCTGTTTTAATCGGTGAAAATTTCGAAAAATACGATGATATATCGAAAATGTCGGATATTTTAGATGTCAGAGTGTACGCATTAGCATTACAAAAATAAAAACTCAGTACTAGCGCAAAATTAAAGCATGCAGAACAATTTATTGGTGATTATCAAATGACTGATAAAGACATTGACGCGTTGAAACAAGCAATACACACTTCTAATGATAAAGAGAAAACTAACAAGATTATTGAAAAATTCCCTAAATTTAAATGCTTAATTGAGAAATAATTGTATTGTTCGCTTTGTTTCTGATTGTAAAATGAATATTTTTCTATTTTTACTACTTTTTTCATGTAAGCCATTCCAAAAAGAGCTCTCTTTCAATCAATGATTGATCAACAATGTTCAATTCTTCTCATCCCTGATTGCTTTTGCAATTTTCTGCATTAGGATCATGAAAACAGAAGATTTATTTCTTTCATTTTCTTTGATAATTTGATTTCTCTCATCGAAATTTAAACTATTTATTTTGAAGTTTTTAATTTCAAAATTTTTTTGGAGCGAAAAATGTTGTTGAATCAGGGATATGAATCGACGAAATCCTTTTAAATTTAGCTAAAGTTTATATTTATCACATTTAATTCATATGAAACAAAAATCATCAAAATGTTTAGAAATGTCACTTTTATCAGATGAATATTGCACAATTTCACATTATTGAAAAGCAAGGCTGCGATCTTCCAAAGGATCCACCTCCTCCAGATGCATTAGAAGCTCCACCAGTCATTGATCCAGATCAAGATTTCAAGTCTTTTAATATCCAACCTCTTGTTACAGCTTCAAGTGCTCAGGAAGAGACCAAAACACGTGATGAAATTTATATCCACATGCGTCAGTATTGTTTAAATCACGATAAAACAGAAAAACGTAGTAAATTTGTAGATGAACATTATCAAGCTATTAAAAACATACTTTACCATGGAAACCTTGAAGAAATCAAAGAGTTATACAAAAAACGCCATGAATGGAGAACGAAAGCTCATGAAATACGTAAAGATGATTTTCCAATCTGCAAAGTTGACACATGCATCCATATAGCTCTTCCTGGTTCAGAGTATTGTGCAAACCATATTTTACTTGATCCAAATCAAAAACTTTTCGTTCAATGTCCTCATTGTAAGAGACCATACCCAAAGAACGGCGAATGCTTAACTTGTGTTTAAATTTTCAGATCTATGTTTATTTATTTTACAAAAAAATTTACTTTTTTTAGATTATTTTTTTTATCGATCTTAATAATGGAAAAAAAAAAAAAAAAAAAAAAAAAAAAAAAAAAAGGTAGTGGGGCTTCCAGGCACTTCGTGCCCTCTAGCCCCGAAGATGTTAGTATAAAATGAAGTTTTTATATACGGGTCTTCCAGGAGCTTTTCACAAAATATATATGTTTTCATGTTTTGTCACTTTTCTGTCACTTTTCAGGAAAAAACATTTTTATTATATATATAAAATGAATTTTACAAAACCACCGTTACCCTTCTTTGGAAATAAGAGTAGATGTAAAGATATTCTATTGAGAGAACTTAAGAAACTACCGAATGGTCTAACATTTGTAGATTTGTTCGGTGGAAGTTTCTATATATCTCATTTGTGCCATACAATATTTCCTGACTCAAAGATTATATGCAATGACTTCGACAACTATATGGACCGTCTCAAACATATACCAGACACAAACAAAATATTGAAAGAGTTAAAAGAAAAGATACCTATAGGTAAGATGGAACGTATACCATTAGATAAGAAAAATACTGTCAGAGAGGTTTTGAAAAAGGCAGAGTATATTGACTGGGATAGTATATCTGCTAGACTATTATATAGTGGTGCTATAAGAGTTCATGACATTGAAACACTTATGTCAAAAGTTTTATATCTTAACTATACAAATGTTTTCAAAGAGAACATAGAAAAATATATTGAGGGTATAGAGTTTGTGAGATGTCATTGGACAGAGTTGTATGAAAAATATAAAGACAAGGAAAATGTTTTCTTTATAGTGGACCCGCCGTTCTATAACACATGGGATTTTCAATACCAAGTAGACTGGACTTTGAGAGACTCTTTAGAAACTTTAGACGTTTTACATAACCATCCATGCTTTTACTTTACATCCGATAAAAGTGGTTTGGAAAGTGTCATGAGATGGTTAGAGGACATACATGACTATGAGTTTAGATATGACAAGATAGAATATGAGAGAGGTCCTATAAACTGGAGAAAGTGTCATAACAAAGAAATTTTACTAGTAAGTAAATGTGGTTTGAAATAGGACTACTTGTTTTAGGTTTTTTCCATTGTGTCATTTACTTATTTGACGTGGCAGAAAGATATAGAGAATATGAAGATGAACCAATGCCTGCAAATGTTCAGTATATGTACTCGTAAGAGATATTTTTATCTAATATTAAATGGACGCACAGAACTTAGCGAATGCACAGCAACCTGGACAACCAAACCCAGAGAATATTCCAAATGAAGTTAGAATACAAACTGCAATGGCAAACTATGGTCAAGTGCCAACAGATGTACAAATGCAAACTGCCATGTCAAATGACGCTGCGTTAGGTTTGCCACCATGGTATGCAAATATGAGATGGAAAGAGTTTTATACAAACCCTGAAGTGGGATATAAACAACTTTATGCAGATGACGCGAACACAGGAGTTGACCCAGAATATGTTTTCTACCAGAGGAGAAACAGAATGTATGAGCTCCAGTTAAAGAACGCTATGGAACTCAACAGGAAACGTAAGAGACTAGGCGGACATTAGATTTTTACATATAGTAAAATGGGTTTCTTCAGTAGTATTGGAAACTTCTTTCGAAATGTTGGAAGAGGTATATGGAATGGAATAAAAACCGTAGGAAGGGGAGTATGGAACGGAGTCAAAAATATTGGCAAAAGAGTAGGTCAGTTCGTTGGTATTATACCTAAAGACCCTGAACCAGAAGAACAAGCTCCTGTTATACAACAGCCTGAACCTGCACCACAGTCTAGTTGGCAACCAAATCCAACACCTCAACCGTATTAAAAAATTATATTTTTATCGTTCGATAGTAGTTGTATATGAAACTAAGTTCTAAGTAAAACGCATGGTATAATGGAATTATTCTTTTTCTTCCATCTGTAGTAAACCATACTTGAAAGTCTGAAATACTTCCACTTGGTGGTTCGTATAGCTTTGTAGGTTTTTCGTAAAAGTCATTTGCCAAGCATAAAAAAGAGTTTTGTGCACCAGAAAATGAAGCATGAACGATAATAGCATCTGAGTCGAAAACATCTTTAAATAAATATGGTTCATCTCTTTGCATATCGACTGTAAAATATTTGCTAAAGAAGTTCGACTTTCTGATTTAACATTCTTTGCAATAATACCATGACATTGCAGTGAATTCTGTATATATTTGTTCGTCTTTATTTGGATTGTCTTCGTAGATTTGAAATGACACTTGTGAATTTTGTTTGTCATATACAATTCTCACATAAAGTGTGCTATTGGTATTTGCATATTCATCAGCATATTTTGCATAACATGAGTTTATTTTATCTTCTATATTTTTTAACGCAGTCTGTAGAGAAGATGAAAGGTCAACTTGTATTAGCTCAATTTCTTCCCACATTTTTCGTTTCCCTTCAGATATATAATCTATATGAAACCTTACAATAAATGGAAAACTTTTATCTTCTACAGACAGACAAAATTTTATTCTACGAAAGCCAACAGCTTTTGTGACGGATGGGTCTCTTAAACCATCTCAATGGGTAGTCAAAACGATAGCCTTCATGCTTTACGGTTCTGTCTCAAACTTTTGACCGACATTCGTAAAAAGTTCATCTAATGGTTTAGTTGTAGCAACTCTTGAATTTTCTTTTTCTATTGAAAGCATATTTTATCTAGAATAAAAATGTCGAAAGAAACAGCGTCTATTGAGAGAAATACAACACAACCGACAACTCATTGTACAAGCTCTAAATAAGAACACAACAAACTTTTCAAACTATTCTAAGATATCTGAGTCATTGAAAGAAGGAAACTTAAAACTGACGATAAACCCAATGACAGATGAGTTTCTGTTTCAAGACAGTAAGAACCATACTGTCTGTGTAAATCCAACAAAAGGAACTTTAAACGAGAAACCTATAGATGAACTTCTTTTGAAAGCAGATGTTGGCAACAAAGCTGACAAAGAATATGTCATTGAAAAAGTTCAAGAAGAACATGACAGAGCAGATGCAACATATGCAACAAAAGAACATACTCATCCTGAACTAGCAGACAAAACATATGTTGACAATAAAATGTCAAGTGAAGTGACAAGAGCTGAAAACGAATATTCTAAAAAGACTCATATACATACCATTGCAAATATTACAAACTTACAAGAAACCTTAAACAGGAAAAGTGACGTTGGACATACACATACCATTGCAAATATTACAAACTTACAAGAAACCTTAAACAGGAAAAGTGACGTTGGACATACACATACCATTGCAAATATTACAAACTTACAAGAAACCTTAAACAGGAAAAGTGACGTTGGACATACACATACCATTGCAAATATTACAAACTTACAAGAAACCTTAAACAGGAAAAGTGCCGTTGGACATACACATACATCTTCTGAAATAACAGACTTAAACGTTAGCCTTGAAAAGAAGGCAGATAAGAACCATAACACACGATTTCTTCGCAACTGTTGGTATAGAAAATATTGCAGGAACGGTTGAAGAACCTGATGGAACTGGTGGGGATGTATTAAATTGGAAACCTCCTAACTTTCCACAAGGTTTAACATCGGAGGATGACATAACAACGATGAAAGACATTAATGTAGAAATGTCTATGTCATGGAGGATGAAAACAAAGTTAAATTCACTGCTCAAGATTTATATGATAAAAAAGCTGACAAAACATATGTTAACGATGAGTTAGATAAAAAAGCTGACAAAACATATGTTAACGATGAGTTAGATAAAAAAGCTGACAAAACAGAGCTTCAAACGTTAAAGACAGAAATACTTCAAACAGTATATCCTATAGGTTCTATTTACACGTCAATGAACTCTACCAGACCAGAAGTAGTACTTGGTTTTGGAACTTGGACTCAAATAGTCGACAGGTTTTTGTATTGTGCAAACTCTTCAAAGGAAACAGGTGGAAGTAAAACGATTTCAGGTGAAATTTACCTGCGCACAGTCACTACATAAATTTAAGTACATCTGAAGCAGGTTGCATAGTCATAGATTTTGGGATTGGTCAGGAATGACAAAAGGTAAAGGATATGATGTTAAAGAGGACGTTAAGTTTGCTATAAATTGTTACTGGAGTAACACTGAGGTAGGAGGAAGCCATACACATCGCGTTTCAGGATATACGCAAACAACGGGACAAAGTAAAGACTACATGCCACCTTACATGACAGTTTACGCATGGTATAGAAATGCTTAGTCGTCATTTTCAACTTCTTTAGCATATTCGTCAGGAGTTGTCTTATATTTGTTAGGAACTGTCTTTGAAAGTATACCACCTTGAACTTTGACAAGTTTGAAACGAGGTCTGACAATAGTAGTTTTATCTTCTGCTTGCAGTCTGTACATTTTGCCATGTTTGCCTAAAACTTCATAATATTCTCTTGTATACTTTCTTCTATTTTTACGAACACGAATGCGAGTACCTGTCGAGTTCCCATTGTTGTCATAGTCAATAGTATTTTCATATGGGTCGCGTTTAGGTATTTCTATTTTTACTTTGTCACCTTTCTTAAGTTTGAAGCCTGGCATTCTTTCTTGTTTGTCTCTTTTGACTAAACTATTAAATATATAGTCTTTCTCTAAGTCGGGTTGTTTTTCATTTCTTCGGGGGAGTGGTTTCCCAAACCTTTTTGTTTACGGCTATTGTAAATATTTAAAACTTGTCTCATCTTTGCCATGGAGAAGTGTCTATATTTGTCGTCATATGACATTTCATCTACCTCACCACCTTGTGGTTGGTTTAAGTCTCTTAAGATTTTTATACAACTGTCAATGACACCAAGAGCAGAATGGTTTTGGTCGACAATGAAATATTGGTTTACATTTTTTGAACGCAGATAGTTTTTAATATCGTCTGATTTGAAAGAACTTTCACAGTCAGATGTCAGTTTTGTTGGATGGTATTTG